CCCCGAAAGAAGTTCTCATTTTCCTTATTTGGATGTCCCTAATTTAAGTTCTCATTTTCTTAAATGGAAAATTATCTACATCAAAATAGTGCCAAACAGTGCAAAACAGTGTCAAACAGTGTTAAACAATGTCAAAACAATAAAATTTACCCCTGATAAGTTTACTTGCATAATAGTGTGTGGAAGTCAAACAGGGAAGTGAGGAACTTCTTTCGGGGCGGAGGGAGTAGTTGTTTTTCCGCCCTGTAACCAAACATATGGAAGTTGTGTGGTGGCAAATACGCATGAAGTGTCTAGGCTAACTCATTGAACAGTGTAACTAGTTGTAGTGAATAGTTTATCTAGTTTTAGACTAGGCCCGATTTGGATTATCAATGCAGTTGCATAGGTAGGGGCGGGCGTGGTCCGGTCCAATATTTGGCCGAACCCGTACCCGTACCATTATTATTCAAACGGTTCGGTTCGGTCTTAGACCTAAACCCGTTCGGTACGGTTTCATTTTGAAACGGGACGGTATCATGCCATACCAATACCAAACAATGTCACTTTTTTCAAGTGCTTAAGAGGAAATTAAAGTTTATTCATCCTCCAAAAATCGACACAATTTATCAATTTTTATACTCATTTTATCCCAAATTGACATGCAAAGTCAATAATTTTTTTGTCAACCATGTTAATGTTAAATTCTCTTTATTGATAATTGATTTATTTTTTTAATAATTAAAATAAACATATTCATAAACTACATTGAAATCTCTTCAAGGTTGCAAGCTCCAAATTAAATATAATTAAAAAGTGACATTCTAGTTAAGTGAATAAAATGAAACTGTTTGACCAAGAAAAGTTAATTTTGCAAATCAATTTGGGATGAATGTAGTATTTTACATAATTAATAAATTTCAGATAAATTATAGTAGTACAAATATAAATAATTAAACCATACATCGGTCCAATTTCAGGCTTCCTATGAATTAGCAAAGATGGTGAAAGTGTGAAGACAGTAGTCAAAGTAAGGGTATAAATGTAATTTTAAATCATTGAATCATACTTCGGCCCGGTTCGGTCCGGTACCGGTTCTCATTTTATGAGAACCGGTCATGACATTGTTTGGAATCGGTACGATTCGGTTCGGGACAAAAAAATTGAGATCCGTTTCAAACCTCATTTTCCGGTCCAATACCATATCGATTCGGTTCGGTACCATTCCGGTTCGGTATTTTTGCCCACCCCTATGCATTTGAATGTGATAATAGTATTTTTTTTCCTGTGCAATATGATAATAGTACTACGTATATGTTCTCTCGATTTATTATGATTTCTGATTATTGATGGAGTGTATATCTTATATACTATTCCTCCTGTCCCTATATAAAAGACATAGTTTAACTATCACACATCCTATTGTTTCGCACTATTTGGACATTGTTTGAACATATTTGACACTGTTTTGCACTGGTATGTTCGTCAAATGGGGAAATGAGCCTTTTATATAAGGACAACTCAAAATGGAAAGTGTGTCTTTTATTTAGGGACGAATGTAGTATTTGCCTTTTCACCTAATTTAAATATAATTATTGTACACTTTATAAAAAATAAGAGGTTTGTGGTATTACAGTGACCGATATTGTAGAGGTACTTGACGTGCACTTTGTCGTGAGTGCACTCAAAATAAATCGATACTAACACTTATACGTAGTATAGGTGAAGTAGAGTTCGTATCCACAGGGAAAGGAATAACTTTCTTTTTATAAAGATAGTAAATAAAGGGGGGTTTAGATTGTTGAGTGATTTAATTAAATTAAACACGAAGATGAACGAGTTATATGGGATTAAATTCAAGAAAAAGGGACTTGGTCTTGCTACTTTCCACTTGTTGATATATTTTAGTCGATCATTGTTATATCTATAACTTATCCCCTCTCGAATACTCAATCGAGGAGTATATCCAATTCATCGAGGGTAGTTATTAACAACGACCGTTCATTAATAACCCTTACTATTTATCAAATATAGAACAACGCCGTATACCGATATAATAGTAGCTTTTAACCTTTTTAACTCCTTGATGAAATCAATTAAGATTGATAACCTCAACACAACGGTTTCGGTTTAACCAACAAAATTAATCCCTCTTAAGTTTATTAACCACGACCGTGCATTAATAAACCGAAGTTACTTACTTGTGAAACCATCAACGTTTAACCATCGGTTCGTTGATCGTTTCTAGTAATAATCAATGTCGGAACGTTAACTAATCGTCACTTAGCCACCCTCCAACATTAATATAGAATGAGATTAAGGGAAAAATTAATAATCAAGAGGAGAAAGTAAGAAAATAACTCACAACTTTAATAATCAATCAAGCTTCAAGAGCAAAACCAAGAATTGGAAGTTTAGCTCCTCATTTGGAGACTAAACATGCTAAAAGAAATATAAAGAAATGCTATTCTAAACTGAGCTTAAGTATATGGAAGAAGGGATTATCCAAAGTGAAGGAAAATGGGGCTATTTATAGGTGTTTGAAGGTGGCAGGATCGTGTACCCGACCGGGTGTTTTGGGTACCCGATCGGGTATTCAGCTGTTTCCGAGAAGTGAGAAAACGTCACCTCATACCCGACCGGGTGTGTCGGTATACCCGATCGGGTATGGGATCGGATTTTCCAATTATATTGTCTCCACGATCCTTTGTTTTCTGGGATTTGATTTGGACACTGAAATCGGGTCAATACCCGATCGAGTATGGGATATACCCGACCGGGTATATGAACTTTTTCTCAAATCCGTTATTGATCTTGTCCCTTTGCGCATCCTTTTGTCTTTGGGATCCATTTCTTGATCCTTTGAGTGCTTTTAACCTGTCCTATGCTCAGAAAAATCCTAATCTAAACAATTTACATCAATTTGTATGAAACAAAACATTACACTAAAGATGTGTAATTTCCAAGCTAGTGAATCACAAAACTAATTAAAAACGTACAAATACAAATGGAAATTACACACAAATCAGTACTGTAATTACTTTTAGGTGAATTTCTTTCCAAAAATATGAGACAATTACTTTGATAAGTTCAAAAAAGGAAAGTGAGACAAATAAACTGATACAGAGGGAGTATTATTGTAGATAGTTAGGATGTTGGGATCTCTATTAGCAATGGCCTATTGGGTAAATTGCGTCAGCTAGCCCATAAATTTACAAATTTTCTACATTGGGCTTGTGCTCTTTGCTACAGACTCTAGACGCTATGGAGCTTCGATAAGAAAACTCTTCCAGTCCCTCCCTTTTTTCAGGTCAGTTTCATGTCTTCTTCCGATCTTATTCCTTTTCGACTCGTTTATCCCTGACGACGAAGGCTCGTGCTCTGGACAGCCTAGGATCTCCGTCGATTCTCATGGGAATGAGACCCACTTCTACCCATCAGCCGACTTTTCACAGGACGTCCCGACGATCCCCTTATCTTATGAGAAATTTGAGACGGCGGTCTGCCTAGACAGCGGTATGCCCTCCCCTACTCCGGGATAGAATATTTTGGAACCTTCCTCTCAGGTTCATTTAGGGTCCATCTAGCCAGTATGGAGATAGAGCTTCATCCCCCCCCCCCCCCCCCCCGCACTATGCTTTCTTGCCGATCCTTGGCCACCACGGGGGTTATCCCGCGTCAACTCACCCATACTACGCATCCGTTCATTGTCGGGTTCGTAGTCCGGTGTCTTTCTTTGCAAATTCAGCCCACCATAGATCTGTTCTTGCACTTCTTCCGTCCCATGAGAGCCAACACATCCAAGTGTCAAGGGTATTTTCCAATCTCTCAACGGGCATGGACTGCCTGTTCACATCCAAACCCTACCCCGATTGCCATAAAAACATGAGATACAAATGGGTGTGGGTTTCTTTAGTGAATGGTGAGCTGCCTTTTGAGAACAGGTGTGTGGAGTTGATCCAGAGGTGGACGATGTCAATTCTGACTGAGTGGAAGGAACACGTCATTAAACTAATTATTGATTACATAGATGAGGACGATATTGTTGTCTTAGAGTATCTCTCACGTCGACAAGTATGATCTTTTAACTTTGTTACCATGTAGTTTTAATGTCTTTATATTGATTCGCTTGCATTTTGCAAAAGGTGAGAATATGGTATCCCACTTGGAAAAGATCTCTAAGAAAGCTGATAATACCTCGAGCCCCTGGTTCCGGCTAGGAGAGTGCTAATGGGGGAATGGCAGATGCCCCACCCCAGAGAGACCGCGTGGGACCCTAAGTGGGGATGAGACTGTGACTCTTGCCTAATGGAATAGAGACACTCGACCCACAATTTAACAGTGGGCCGGGAAGAGGTCGGCAGCCTAGTCCATCTCTACTTTTCATCCCAAAGAACAAAGATGTCATTGCTAAAAATGATCCCTCTTGGACTTCCTGCCTCCTGGTAGACCTCGACTCGGACTCTGAACCTCAACCCAATGAGAGCGGAGCTCGGGAGCAAGCCCGGCCACCTTAGCACTCTTTCCGGTTGACTATGTAGAGATCAAAATGCTAACTTTGATAAATGAGATGGTCATAAGATAATTATCCTACAATGTAGTGTTCTTTTATTCAAAAATACTATAGGTACCCCATTTTGAGATAACCATCACATATTGTGTGGCTTCATGGATCAATTCATTTAAGTGGAGCAACTCATTTAAATGATCATCTCATTTGAACCATACAATGGATGAGTGAAAATGAGGTATCCCGAAATGGGGTACACCAAACACAACTCTCTTTTATTATACTACCTCCGTGCCTTAAAACTTTGCCAAAGTTGACAAACACGGGAAATAATAAAGTAAAAACTGTGTGGTTGAGGTTTGTGCAGCGGAGAGAGAAATAATAGAAACCACAAAATAATTGATTAAAAGAGAAAATGTCAAAGTTTTTTGGAACGTCCCAAAAAAAAGATGACAAAGTTTTAAGGAATGGAGAGAATAAGGAGTAAAGAAAAAGAAAAGAAGTTCAATAATTGAAGTTTGTCTTTTTATGCAATCATTACTCACTTTATATACCATTACAAAAAGCAAAGCGAAACCATGGGCTTTAACCAGCCAAAAGTACATCAAATTGCACAAGTGCAGAGCATCATCATCATCTTCATAAGTGAGCTCTGTGAAGACTCAGTTTTTTTCAATAGTTTAGAGCTGATAATAAAGCTAGAGCTCCCGATCCTTGAAGAAGAGCCAAAGTTTCAGTCATGCTGGGAAAAAGCTTAACTCCGGTGATCGGGAAAATAGCCCGTAGATCCTGTATACCAGCTTCCGGCAGCGGAGAACTAGTTGTCGACGGATCAATTAGCCCGAGAAGTCCTTTGGACCTGAAATCACCCAGAGGTCCAAAAAGTTACGATCTTGGTGTGGTTGGGCTCGCCATAGTAGCTGCCCTTGAGAATTCTTGTCAAACTGACGCTGAATTCTTAACTTGCCGGCCTGTTTATAATCGGAGGAACTCAAACCCGATTCCGGTCAATTCCTGCCGGAGTTCTCCCAGACTCGCCGGATATTTCGATGAAACGGATACGGAATGCTCAGAAGATGAGGAAGATGAAGAATATACGGTTGTAACTTGCCATGGCCCCGGTAACAAATCCTACACACGAGTGTACTGTGACAGAGCCGTGATCGGCGGCAGTTACAGAAGTTCCAGATCTAAATGGCCGAGCGTATTCGCCGTTTCTCCGGCGAGAACTGGTGGTTTTCCGAGAAACCCAGATTCCGGTTTTCTGAGTTCATGCGATATGTGCCAGAAAAGCCTTCACGGCATAGACATATTCATGTACAGGTAGAATTCACACTCTGTTTCATGAATTCTCCAGAAATTAAATAAAATAGAATCAATTTTTCGGTTTCTTTTCATTTTCAATTGGGTAGGCTGCATATGAATGATGGTTATGAAATTGCAGGGGTGAGAAAGCATTTTGCAGCTCGGAATGTAGAAACAGACAGATATTGACTGAGGAGTCCAATGAGAATTGCAGTTCGGAGATTTCAAGGTCTGTTGATGTTTCGAGCTCAAACGGCGGCCAGATGTTTTCAGGGAATGGCATTCTGGCAATCTGATCTGAGAATATGTATATCTATCTATCAAATAAAGGCAGTAGAGATTGAGTGTGTGTGTATATATGAGAAGAATTAACAAAAGGGGCTTTGAATTCCCTCAACTTTTTTTTGTCGATTTTTATGGGATATAACAATAATCTTGTAAAAACAGATGTTTATGCTATGGCAATGAAGTTTTGAACTCTCTCTGCTTGGTGTAGTTCTTACTGTGTTGGGATGACCCGAAAAATCAGCAGTTGATTTCTTCAGAGTTCAGACCAGAATAATCTGCAGTTGCTTTCTTCAGTAGTATGATTTGATTTGGGATTGCCATTATGCTGGAAAAAATCAATATTATTAGAAATTTAAAATTGCTTTGGAAATACTCCCTCCATCCCATTTATATGGTTCTGTTTTACTTTTTCGGAAAGTCCCACTTAAATTGTCTCATACTATATTTGACAAAATTTATGTGGCTCTAAATCATTCTTACTTTATTCTTACTTTATTAATTAATATCAATCACACAAACCCTTTTTTCTTAATAACCGTGTCACCCTCTTTCGGTACAATATAAATGGGACGGAGGTAGTACTACATATATGGCAAGTTTGGATGATTCAATAAGATGTTTGTCTCAACTTTTTCACCAACCACGTAACTTTTGCTTTCGCGCGTTGAAATGTGTAATAAGCAGAAAAAGTAAGGTTGAAGTTACTTTTCTGGCTGTATTGGCTGAAGTTACTATAGATGATCATTTTAGCTCTTTTTACATATAGTTTTTTCTTTATTTTATTAATAAAATATATTTAAAAGATATTTTTTTTCTTAAATCAGCATAATCAGCCAATGCAGTCACTTCAGCCATAACTTCATAAGTTTCAGCAGAATCAGCCAAATCAGCCGATTTTCGTGCTACCAAACTGGTTCTAAGATTTCCCTTAATAATACAAAAGCAATTGTCTTAAAATATTGCGGAAATGAAATTTATGTGTAAAACCTAAATATAATCATAGTTACTCAAAGTCATTAATATAATCATTTTGTATAAAAAGTTACATTTTTACTCTATCATCTCTATTTGAATGGATGGAAACATGTTGTGTCATGAGAGTTCATGTGTTCATAATCAAGAATTTTAACCGGAACCTAGTTAACAAATTTCAGATTAATGTCATATACATGTCTTGATTCTTGGTTAAGTTCTAAACTCATTTTGACATTTCTAAACACAAACAATAAGCTTTAAAAAGAAAATAGAATCAAGACTTCAACTCCACAATATCGCCCCAGGTGTAAATGTACAAGAGCTCCACTTATGTTTTGCACGGTAATAATGATCTGATTTCAGGTTTAGACAGGGGAGGATTCAAGAATATTTATAGTAGGCTTAATTATTATTGGGTGGGCAAAATATGTTAAATGAAAAAGTTAACTCTAAAAAAGTGAAAAAAGAAATAAATTGTTTGGGGCTTCGGCCTACCACCTGTAGATACATCCTTCCATGGGTTTAGAGCTATGACCCTGTTCAACCATGAACATTGTGTAACAAAATAACTATTTTAAAATATCATAATACTGCCTTTTTGGAGATCTTATCAAGATGAAAAACTCGTAAGCAGAATTCGTTTTCAAAATAAGACTCCATTTATTCTAAATATGTTTTATTTACTTTGAAAATGATATACTACTACGTATATAAAAAGGCTAAGTATTTGATTTGATCATACATAGTATGTTCTTATCGAGTTTTAAAACTCGTATTCCGACTTTGCTTACAAAATATTGAAGGATAGCTTTACTACGTTTTATAGCTTGTTGTATTACTCACAAATTAAAAATCATTGCCGAGTTAACTCTGAACAGATGTAGTATTTGAGTTGATCAATTTTTTGTTTTATATAGTGAAACAGATTTCTAAACCGTTGACGTGTCTGAGTGTCTCTCTTCTTGGTTAACAAAATTTAATTAAATTATTTAATTAGAACAATATATATTAGAAGGGGTAATGGAAAACACAATAAAAGATAAGAGAAAAAGTTGGAGATAAAAATCTGGAGAACAGGAGAAGAAACATAGAAAATACTAGAGCAACAAACGGAGGAAAAAAAATGTAAACACATGGAGTTATCAACTACTGAGTATTAAAATGTAAGCACTCACAAACCATGAATGAGGACGGCAGAAACAAATGAGGAGACAGCCGCAGGGTTTCTCTCTAGAGAGAAGAGAGATGATGTGTGTTTTCCCGCACTTAAAAAATGATGTAGAATAGTACTTAAAAGTACGAGTATCGTCTCCACAGGGACGGAAAAAGAGAATCAAGAATTAACTAAATTCAGCGATTTAAAAAGAAATAAATAAAATAAAATGCAATTGTGCGAGATTTGTTGGTTTGAAAAATAAAATTAATGCGAATTAACGATTTAAATAAAGATTGGTTTCTTCTTAATTAACGAAGAAGGGAACATGGATTCATTCCGGGGCAAACAGACCTAATTACATGGAATTGATTTAATTGAGCCTAGCTAATCATTACTAAGTTCTTACCGCTCTCGCGGCGTAGAGTACAATAATTTAGGGGATCAAGCTGATCTCTCATGCGATAGGATCCTAAATTATTGGCAAAACGAGCGAGCTTACGGCCCCTTAATCGCTACTAATCTCTTAGCGAACGATTAAGTGTGTGTGAAAGTGTCCTAGAATAAATTAGATCTCTCTTAATGTATTCTACATGCAATTGTAATTCTAGTGGCCATCTAGGTTACAAGAGATATCAGTTAAATTATTAAAACACAAATTAAACGGCATTCATGCAATTAAACCAACAAGAATCTAGCCATCAATCATGATTAACCCCTTGATCAACCCCAAATCCCTAATTAAACTACTCACAATTCATAATTGAAAAATCAATAGAATTAGGATGAATAGAATAAATTGTCATTAATTACAAAGAATAAACTTACAAAGAATCACAGGTTCTTGGAGTAAAACAACGTAAAAACGCAAGTAAACTCGTCCCTAAGCCTCTCCGTAATGTTCGTAACCCCTAAATGGGAGAATAGAGGCCTTATTTATAGAAAAGGGATGAATTCAAGCTGAAATAGGACAAATCGGGGTCAGGCGGCGCCAGGCACGATCGTGCCTGGCTGACAGTGAGGTCTCGCGTATTTCTTCTCCAGGCACGGTCGTGCCTGGCCTATCCTTGACCGTTTCTCGCCGTTTCTTGCTCCAAATGCTCCTGGATGTATACGAGGTCGATCCAATTGCTCTTTCTTCATCAAAATTTCGTCGTGAATCTCCCGGTGACTTCCAAATCTCTCAAATCTCTCATGAATGCTTTCGAACTCTTCCCGATTGCCTCTCAAGCGCCTATTGCCGGTCTCTAACTTCTTCAATTTGACTCCAAATGCAACAAAACTCGACCCAACGCTTGGTAATCACAACTTGAGCTAAAATTGAGACTTGCAACGCCTTAAAGCAAGGAAAACCATTAAAATCCGACCCCAAAACGTATCAAATGCGTGTTGAAATACGAACTTATCAGATTCCCCCACACTTAAGCTTTTGCTTGTCCTCAAGCAAATCGAACAACGAGACTTATGATAATCACCACACGGAATTAAAATAGTTAGCATGCACACGTGGTTACAGGGATACTCACAGAACATACAGTCCAAACCAAGAAAATTCTACTCTAAACTACATCTTTGTACTCAAGCTAAACTATTTGACAAAATTATTCACAACATCTTCAAAGTAATGATAGCGTACACAAATAGACTAGCTATTGATCAGAAGGACTTGTGAAGGTGATGGTAAATGATTAAACAATATCAGTCCCTTTCTTTGAGAGATTGGAATACTCTAAAAAAGACTCAATACATTCAGGAATTTCAGGGCTATTCTTATGAACAAGAAACTTAGTTGGAGGCAACAAATTAAGAACAATCATTTAAAACTATGCAAAGAGTAGACATGATGTACAACTAAGCTAAACCACCGCGACACATTTGTGCTTTGACGTTTACTTGAAGTACGCGAAGGAATAAAGCTAATTTTCGCAATAGCCTCCAAGTTCATTAATTAAGTTCAGTTTTCCTTTTCATGTTGGCACGAGACCGCCATTTCTTTCGAAAGATACCCAAGTTTCATCTTACGCTTTTTGACCGGGGCTCCCATTCTCTTTTTCACAAGGTAAGAGGTCTAGATATATTAATTTTTCACCTTTCGGATTTTTACTAGACATTACCCCATTCTAATCTCAACCTCACCAAGGAAAAATTAGCAATTTAAGTTCATTTATTCAAAGTGAATCCATGTCTACAATGCAATCCTCGAAAGTATCATGTTCCTAAAAAGTGACTGCTCTTACCCCATTTGGGGCATAGGAACAGTGCCAAAAGTGGCTCCTACACAAATTCTCTAAACTTAGCAAATTGATCCCCTAGTTCCCTAAACACCAAGACTTTGTCAGAACAGCTAGATTCATTCGATGGGTGACTAATGCCTTCTTCCTCTCAACAGCTAGATTATAGTGAAAGCAATTTAAGCCTAAACACTTCAATGACATTCTAAAAGCATAGTCAAAACACTAGCCAGTTCACAAAGATACAGTTCAAAGAAAAACTTTCAAAAATTTTGACATGATTTTCCTATGAATATACAACTAACATCTGCGCATGCTAACTCTAATAATCACATGTAACAACTAATGCCCGAATGCCCAACTTACTCCCCCACACTTAAACTTTGGCATCGTCCTTGATGACCAAAAATGCACTATGCACAAGGGGTAAAGAGGAAAGGATCACACATGTTCAAAATCAACTCAAATCATTATTACAACAAGCGAGTAAATTAAAGAGTTAGAGTAAAGAGTTAATTGTGAGTGAGTGTGACAGTGCAAATAGGAGTACAGTCATCCAACACAAGTATCAAAGTACATGAGCTAGAGGGGGACATCTAAAAATATCTACTGCTCAGGAGGGGGAGGTGGCTGATATCCCTCAAAGAACAAGCGCCAATTAGTCTCCAAGGAAGTGAGGCGCTCATCAATATGTGAACGCAGCTCGGTGTAGTGCATGTGCTGATCCTCCCTCATCTCCCGGTAAAAGTCCCGCTGCTCAAAGCGCAACTGATCAAATCTGTCATTCTGCTCAGTAGATATCCTATGGTAAATGTCGTTCTGGTGTGCATGCACCCATGCCCATGTATCGGGATAAGTGTGCCCGAAGGAGGGTGGCACATATGGAATGTCCTGTGCAGCGTTGTCCATCGCCTCGTCGCTCTCCTCATCATCATGCTCTTGGTGGCCTGCCCTGCCACCCTCAATCATCTGAATGCCTACCTGCTGGGGTGCCTGCTGCCCTCCTCCCGCTGCTGCCGGCTCCACCCGAACTCTCCTCCTAGAAACTCCCGATTGACCTCGGGAAGCTTGGTCAACGGAAGAAAACTCGAGCTCTCCTCCATACCAACAAAACGATCTCCATAGCCCATCCCGCTCAAAAGTCTAGTAATGAAGGGGCCAACATAAATGGACTTGATGTGGTTAGTGGACTGGCGGTGGAGGAGTTTGGCAATAAGATAGCCCATGTGAGGCTTGCGGTTGTGTGTTATACGGTATAAGCAGAAGAGGTCCGTAGAGGTGACTTTGTCGGCGACCTCGGCTTTGCCGGTGATAGTGGAGGAGAGAAGGGCGTGAATAATCCGGTACTGTCGTGGGAAATGCAGTGTGCTCGGGAACTTCTTGGGCTTGTACTCTTCACCCCCTGTAGAAATAGACTCCCAGAAAGCTTGGCGGTTGACGCCGGGTGGGAGGTCTATCAACGCGACTTCATGTTGGCCACTGTCCTCAATCCGAGTAAAGCCCAAATGATACTCAATATCTGACATAGAAATGACATGATCCTCCTCAAATGCCCGGAACCTAATGACGGGCCGGAGGTTGTCATCCATAGGAATAACCTTAGGCATCCTCAAACTGGCCAAAACCTCACATGTTATCTCCCTATAGGTAGGATCTCTAATGTCAAAGAAAAGGTGCCTCCACCATCTCCGTCTTAGTAGTTGCATCACCTCATTCCGCACTCCCGCTGCATTAAGTGTGTCCTCGTCGGGGTGGTACAATGTTCCCATACTCTTTGGTAGAATCTCCACATACTTCATCTCGTCCTTTTCCAATGGGAACTTCGGTTGATACCGGGAAGCACTGCCCCTGCTAGAACATGCGACCGCACCTTTAGTGTGCTTCTGTCTCGACGGCATCTGTCAAAACAAGTTAAAACAAGAATTCCAACGGGGCGTCCAAACATTAGAATATACTCCCTCAGTCCCAAATTGTATGATACATTTACTATTCACTTGGTCAACACAAATCACTCTTAATCTTTTATTTTATATATCAAAAGTTTATGAAATTTGAATTATTTTTTGCAGGTTTTGTAGCGGTTTTAATGTAGTTTCTGAATTTGTAACTTTTATTTTCTATAACTAATTTGAGTGTTGACAGGGATCAATTTGCTTTATCGTCAGTCAAACATCGTAAACCGTAATGTATCTTACAAATTGGGACGGAGGGAGTAACTCACAAATCAAAAGTAATGGCCCCGTCAGCAATTAAACAACATGAAGCATTATCGTATGCCAAAACACACCCAAGTTTAACCAGAATAGTTGAAAAATTGAACTTTTATCAAAGAAAAGTTCTTTGAATAAAATTCAAATTTTCAACGACACACGGTATAAACAAGGTCACAAGCAAGCATCATTCATCACAACAATGTCTTAGAATAAAGTTCTTCCCAACATAATTAACAAGAAGATCAAAATTAGGGGAAGAACACAAATTTCTCAAATTAGACAAAGTTTAGCCTAAAAATGGGGGGTTTATGCTAAATTGAAATCAATAATAGTCAAATATAATCTCAAACAACAATTCAATCATCAATTTGAGCAAATAAATCAAAGCCCCCAAATTTTTATCACATTCAACAAATTCAACCCCAAATTGGCCAAATTAACCCAAAATTAGGGATTTCAAACAAGAGAGGCAAAATCACACACTTAGAACATCGATAACATCAATTCAAGCCTCAATTTGAACAAAGAAATCAAAATCCCTAACATTCGAGCACATGCAATTTTCGGACTTTACAAAGCTTGAAAAGTTCCATTAATGGAGAAAGAAGAATGGAGAAGAAGAAAATACCCTGCTGAGAGTAGAGGAAAGAGAGAGAGTGGAGGAGAGACGGCGGTCAGAAATGCGGCTAGAGGTCCGGTGGTGCGCGGTGGTATTGTGCGGTCGCGGCTGGTAGTTCGCGCGCGGGGGGGGGGGGGGGGGGGGGGGGGGTCGCTGTTTTTTATTTTTTGATTTTTTTGTCTCGATTGCGTAAGGAAAGAAGAAAGCAAGTGGTCTGGGTTATGTGTAACTTACACGGGAGTATTTTCGAAATTTCGCGAGGCACGATCGTGCCTGGCTGGCAGTAGGCATCCGTTCCTGAGGTATCGGGCACGATCGTGCCTCCAGCCAGGACACGATCGTGCCTGGCTAGCAGTGTGCTTGCGACTTTCCTTCAACGTAGGCACGACCGTGCCTGCCCAGGCACGATCGTGCCCGGCCAAAACCAGCTATTTTTTTTGAAAAGCAGTAAAACTAAAACTACTGAAGCAAAAGTAAGCTCGGGTTGCCTCCCGAGAAGCGCTATTCTTAACGTCATTTGCCCGACGCAATTACGCACTCAACTCTCGAAATCCGTGACAAAGGTCACCATACGCTCTCGTTCTAGCAGTCCTCCGTAATACTTCTTCAGGTAATGGCCATTAACTTTAAAGCGGTCCTTCTCAGGATGATCAATTTCAACAGTTCCATATGGAAAAACTTCGCTCACTATGAAAGGACCAGACCATCTAGACTTCAACTTTCCTTTAAAAATTTTCATTCGGGGATTGAATAGCAGAACTTGACCCCCTCACCCCCCTTGCAAAACTCATTTCCCTATTTAATATGCCGGTCCTGATAGGCTTTGGTACGCTCCTTACTTATCTTAGAGTTCTCATAGGCCATAAGCCTCCACTCATCCAACTTGTTAAGCTTCCAAATCCGTTCACCACCCGCCAAAGTAAGATCTTTATTCAGCGTTTTCAAGGCCCAGTAGGCCTTATGCTCTATCTCTACCGGAAGGTGGCACGCCTTCCCATAAACTAAGTGAAACGGAGTAGTGCTAATGGATGTCTTATACGCTGTACGCAATGCCCACAACACATCATCTAACTTATCGGACCAATCCTTTCTATGGGTCTCAACGGTCTTCACAAGGATGATCTTAATGTCCCTATTCGAATTCTCAACTTGGCCACTAGTTTGAGGGTGATATGGACGCCCCCCTTTATGAGTGACCCCGTACTTTACCAAAAGGCGCGTCATGGGATCATACCTAAAGTGGGTACCCATGTCACTTATCAAGACTTTTGGCATTCCAAATCTAGAAAACAACTTCTTTAGAAAACGAATCACAACTCTTGTCACGCCCCGGACCTACCGGACACGTCAACAACCCGCCGTACAGTACGAATAGCCAACCGCAGTCCAACTCATCCATACTATACTAGGCGTCTTGAATACCATTCACACATAGTACATCCATAAACAATCATAACGTAAAATATTTAGTTAAGCAGCGGAAACATAATTACAAATATTCAAACCACACGTGGCAACCACTGGCATACAAGCCCCCAAATAAATATTCGAAATAATATCCATGAGCATTATTTAAATTGTTTTCAAAACGGAAACAGAAGAAGCACGAACCACGCCTTCCTCCTTGAATTCCCCGAAGCAACGAGCGGTAGTAGCAAGCTCTACTCCCTACCTGAAACTGTGAGGTGGCCTCCCCCGTGAAGGGGAGGTCAGTACTTGGAAGCATTTGACAAGTACAATGACAACTATACTAAGTATAATCAAAGTTTCAATTTCCAAGACCCTCAACCCAAGATGTTACTCATTTATAATTAACTCATGTTCTCCATGCTAGAGCTCGGCTCGTAGTCATATCAATTTGTGCTAGAGCTCGGCTCATAGTCACCCTACTTTTGCTAGAGCTCGGCTCATAGTCATACTAATTTGTGCTAGAGCTCGGCTCATAGTCACCCTACGTTTGCTAGAGCTCGGCTCATAGTCATACTAATTTGTGCTAGAGCTCGGCTCATAGTCACCCTACGTTTGCTAGAGCTCGGCTCATAGTCATACTACCACGTGCTAGAGCTCGGCTCATAGTCACGTCACAAATCCCTAAACCACTTCTTAGTCTAGGTTCCATCCATTTCGAGTAACCCTTAAGGCTTACTCCAAAAGTAACTTGAGTTCACAAAGTCCACCTTAAACATATCTTTTAAGGTTACTCAACTCCAAAGTCTTGGGATTGGCTCCCAAAAACTATTGAACTAACATTCCCGACTAGTATCCTATACTAGTCATTTAATCTTAATAACCCAATGCATATTCATAATAATTTGAATATTTCAATTTAATTCCACATTCAAGTATAACTTGGCTTTAATATCAAAATATCACTTTTATCCTTCCATGGCTTCCTTACATGAGGTAAAAGTATATTTTTCACAATTTAATTTATAGTTTACACAACTACTATACCATTGTATTCATAACACATAATCATACACAATTTATTCATAAATTTGTATATCATGCCTTTTATTTGCTTATAAACAATAATAATCTCATTTAGGCATTTTTATTAAAAATAAATCATGCCAAACACATATAATTCATTTAGGTAATCTTATGAAATTAACCCAATAATTATAAGCAATATAGTCGGTCATCCTCACCTTAAGTGAGCTTAAGCGTGTTCTACGCTCCGCGGTTGAACTTTGACTAATTCCGGTGAACTTTGACCAACTCCGGCCAACTTTGACCAACTCCGGCGAAACTCCGGCGAAGCTCAAAGATACTTTATATCAAGTTCCTAACAAGGTTTTAACATCATAAAACCTTAATCAATACCCATAACCCTTAAAAGGTCATTTTCCGGGGAACTTGTCGGTTTGGCTTCTAAATCCGTTCTTGGACTTAGAACCACTCTCCCACCCATTATTCTACACTTAAATCATGTAGAACAACTCTCAAGGTTCTTCATATGATATATATCTCATATGATAGAAGAAAAATAAAGGAAAGTTTTGATAAGGTTATTACCTTAATCCTTTCACACTTTTAGCACTTTAGCTCCTTTTCTTGGTATTCTTTCTTGTAAAGCTCTCTTCAACAATGGAGGAGAATGATGGAGGATTCTTTGCTCTTGCTTGGAGGGTGCTGGCCGCAGGAAGTGAGGGAGAGAGTGGGTGAGGGTTGGTTTTTGTCTCTTTGATCCAATGAGTAAGGATGGGGGCCATCTAATGTACCTTTGATGCCCATCTATTCAACCCCAACACCTCCCACCTCCTCCTTTCCAATCCAGCCGCCCACCACTTGGTTTTGTATGGCCAAATTCGTGGGTTGGCCCCCACTCATGTGGGAGGTCAACCCTTTTTGTCCAGAAGTGTACAATTGGCCCCGAAAGTTGTATTTTTCGGACTGTTTTAAATATATTTTATTTTATCGGGTCAAATAAAATATATTATGTGTTCTTAATCATTATAACCTTTATAATGAATATACATTCCCAAACTTTAATTTATAAGTCCCCGAAATTCAATATCGGGCTTTTATCGGTTAAATTGTCAATACCGATATTTGGGCTTCTTTTGACCGATCGGTCAACTCTGGACCTTTCCATGGTCCAAATGAAATAGCCACCACTATATAAATATTATCTTGACCAAGATAAATACAATATATGGTTTCGGGGATTTCGGGCGGCCCCGCTCCCGGTGTGGGTCCCACGTGCGAATTTATTATTCACGCAAAAGAAGTATTAAAAATTCACCACTTCGTATTTTCATTAACCATTCCATGAGGTTCAATACATTATACTCTTAAAAGTAATTACATTTGGGGACGGTGTTACAAGTTCACCCCCCCTTATTTGGGATTTCGTCCCCGAAATCTACGTGTCTAATCGAAAAGAAACGGGTATTGCTCCCTCATTGAGACCTCAGTCTCCCAGGTTTCTTCTTCGACTCGATCACTCCTCCAAAGAACCTTTACCATAGGAATCTCTTTGTTCCTCAGTTTCTTCACCTGTTGACCCACAATCTTTACCGGTTCCACCGCATATTGTAGATCTTCACGTATCTCCACCGGTGGCTTCTCAAGAATATGAGACGGATCTCTCACGTATTTCTTGAGCATCGATACATGAAACACGTCGTGTATCTTCTCAAGTTCTGGCGTCAACTTGAGACGGTATGCTACGGCCCCTATCCTTTCAAGGATTTCAAATGGACCAATGTATCGGGGGTTAAGCTTTCCCCTCGATATAAATCGGATGATACCCTTCCAAGGAGAAATCCTTAGGAAGACCTTATCACCGACCTCGAATTCCAATGGCCTGCGTCGTTTGTCGGCATAACTCTTCTGCCGATCTTGGGCAGCCCTGAGTCTATCCTGAATGACCTTCACCTTAGCCTTGGTGATTTCAACAAGTTCAATCCCTTCGAGCTTGGCCTCGCCAACCTCGTCCCAACACAACGGTGTTCTGCATTTCCTCCCATACAATGCCTCGTATGGAGGCATGCCAATACTTGCCTGATAACTGTTGTTATAGGCAAACTCGACTAGAGCCAAATGTTTGTCCCAACTCCCTTGGAACTCCAGAGCACATGCCCTAAGCATGTCCTCCAATATCTGTATCACCCTCTCAGATTGTCCATCCGTCTGTGGATGAAAAGCTGTGCTAAACTTCAGTTTAGTACCCAAAGATGCTTGAAACTTGGGCCAAAACCGAGATGTGAATCGTGGATCCCTATCCGAGACAATGGATATCGGGACTCCATGTAATCTCACAATCTCTTCCGTGTATAACTTTGCCAATCTTTCAAGAGGATAAGTAATGTTGATAGGCAAAAAGTGTGCACTCTTAGTGAGCCTATCAACCACTACCCATACTGCATCGTAGTTGTTCACTGTTCGTGGTAGCCCCACCACGAAGTCCATGGTAACATGCTCCCACTTCCATTCTGGAATGGTCAGTGGCTGCAAAAGCCCCGCCGGGTGCTGATGCTCTGCCTTAACTTGTTGGCAAGTAAGGCATCGACTCACGTACTCTGCGATGTCTCTCTTCATACCCGACCACCAGTAACTTTCCTTCAAGTCTCGGTACATTTTGGTACCCCCTGGATGCATAGCATATGCCGAAGAATGAGCCTCCTCTAGTATGGACTTTTGGAGCTCCTCACTCTTTGGTATGCATACACGGTCTTTAAACAGTAAAAGACCGTCATCACGTACCCGAAAGTTCTCCACGGGCCCTTCAAGGATCCTTTCGCGGATCTTCTGGCATTCTTCATCAGTGGCCTGACATCTACTGATCTCACTCAACAATGTAGGCCTAACTTCGAATCTAGCAATGAGGACCCCACTCGTGGACACCTCCACTTGTGCCCTCAAAGTTCGTAGACATGTGAGTAGTGTCCCCGACGTACTCTTCCTGCTCAGCGCATCGGCCACTACATTGGCCTTTCCGGGATGATAGTCGATGATCAAGTCATAGTCCTTGATCAACTCCATCCATCTCCTCTGCCTCATATTCAACTCCTTCTGAGTGAATACATACTTCAGACTCTTATGATCGGTAAAAATGTGACATGTCTCCCCATAGAGGTAATGTCTCCAAATCTTTAGTGCAAACACTACCGCCCCCAACTCTAGATCGTGGGTAGGGTAGTTCGCCTCGTGTTTCTTCAATTGCCTAGAAGCATAGGCAATCACCCGACCGTTTTGCATTAGTACACATCCAAGCCCTTGGATGCTAGCATCACTGTATATGTCATACCCTATCCCTTGTGTGGGTAGAGCGAGAACAGGTGCTTCCGTAAGCCGTTTCTTTAGTTCGAGAAAGCCTTTCTCACAATTGTCGTCCCATATGAACTTGGCCCCTTTCTTCGTGAGCTTTGTCAATGGAGACGCCAATACGGAGAATTTTTCAACAAACTTTCTATAGTATCCCGCTAAGCCAAGGAAACTACGTATCTCTTTCACATTTTTGGGTCTCTCCCAATTCATAATGGCTTCTATCTTGGCTTTATCCACCGAAATGCCCGAACTTGACACGACATGCCCGAGAAACCCAATCTCTTTGAGCCAGAACTCGCATTTAGAGAACTTGGCAAAGAGTTGTTTTTCCCTTAGCCGTTCAAGTACAAGACTCAAATGATCTTCATGCTCCTCTTCACTTTTGGAGTATATCAAAATGTCGTCAATGAACACTATCACAAATTGATCTAAGTATTCACTAAACACACGGTTCATCATGTCCATGAATGCCGCCGGTGCGTTGGTTAGACCAAATGACATCACCAAAAACTCGTAGTGACCATATCTAGTGCGAAATGCACTCTTAGGTATGTCACTCTCCTTTATCTTCAACTGATGATACCCCGACCTTAAATCAATCTTCGAGAATACTGTTGCCCCTCGAAGTTGATCGAACAAGTCATCAATCCTCGGTAAAGGATACCTGTTCTTGATCGTGACCTTGTTCAACTGTCGGTAGTCTATACACATTCTTAGTGTACCATCTTTCTTCTTTACGAAGAGTACGGGTGCTCCCCACGGTGAATGACTGGGTCTAATGAACCCGTTGTCCAATAGCTCCTGAAGTTGAACCTTCAATTCTTGAAGCTCGGCCGGTGCCATTCGATAAGGAGGAATCGAAATGGGTTTGGTTCCCGGCTCCACTTCAATTACGAATTCGATCTCCCTGTCGGGTGGAAGCCCCGGCAAGTCTTTGGGAAAGACATCCGGATATTTGCACACGACACGTACATCGTTGATGTCAACCTCCTTCTTTGCTTCATCCACCACGTAAGCAAGGTATGCGTGGCATCCCTTCTTTATCATCTTCCGTGCCCTCATCACGGATATTATGCAACTATGAGATCCTCCCCGATCTCCCTCGAAACGTAGAGTGTTTCCCTCAGCATCCTCGAGTTCCAAAACCTTGGCATAACAATCCACTCGAGCATGATGTTTCTCGAGCCAATCCATCCCTAGAATTGCATCGAATTCTAACATACTTAGAGGTACGAAGTCACAAGTCAAAGGTTGACCCGTCACTTCTACCTCACACGAAGGATAGTAGTGTTTCCTCTCCACATCGTCTCCCAACGGTGTAGAGACCAACAAGGGTTGTGTCATTACTATCATCGGCACGTCTAAACTTTCGGCAAACGCTTCACTCACGAATGAACGTTGTGCCCCGGTATCAATGAGAATTCTTGCGTTTCTACCGTTGATCTTTAATGTTCCTACATTCATAAGTCATGTGAGACACACTAGGCAACGTACCGGATCGAAACGGGGCTTAACGAAAATTTTTCGGGTGACAATACACTGGACCGGCGCCGGTTCTAGGCAAGACCGGCGCCGGTTTGCCTTCGGGGTGGCCGGATTCACGCAAAATAAACTGGACCGGCGCCGGTTATGGCCAAAACCGGCGCCGGTTTACCATCGGCAACTTCGGAAAAATGTTTTTCTTCAAAAACCGGCCCCGGTTACGAGCACGGTGATTCTTCCGACCACTTTTTCCCCTAGACCGGCGCCGGTTATGGCCAAAACCGGCGCCGGTTTTGCTACGGCGTCTCCCGGAATTCAAGTTTTAATTGGCCTGAGTCACCCCGACCCTTGACCGGCGCCGGTTATGGGTCAAAACCGGCGCCGGTTTACCCACGGCGACCCCGAAACAGCCATTTTTAATTAGAACCGGCGCCGGTTTGAGCCTTGACCGGCGCCGGTTTACCCCTGGGTAGCTTATTTTTGCAACTTTTTGCCAAGAAACCGACCGGTATCGGCCCCGGCGGGCCTGTACAAATCCGCTATCATTTTTAGCACTCGATACATGTAATTTATCAAACGTTACAAAGGATTACCTGCAACGGAGTCGGGATTAGCCCGAGCGTCGGCCTCGGTCATCGCATAGACCCGTGCTTGAGACCTCCCCTGATTCACGGACGGCGCGTTGCTCGTGCTCGCTCCCCCTTGCCCCGTACTAGCATGAGGTGCCCCGGTTCGGCTCCTACTCGCCGTGGTGGCGCCGCTTGATCCCGCCCCTCGGTTCCCACCAAGTTGAGGGCAATTTGGTTTAATATGCCCTGTACTCCCGCATTGGAAGCACCGTGGTGGATCACGACACTTACCGGCGTGGCTCCTGTTGCAATTCCTGCACCTGGGCGTCGTTGAGGCTTGGGAGCCCGAGTTGTGCCCGCTGAAGGCCGGGTTCCCCTTGGATGGCGGTGCCGGTGTTCTGAACGATCCACCTCCCCCATGGTTCCCCTTTTTGTTAGAACCTTGGGGGCCATGGTTCTCCCACTTCCTCTTCTTCGCCTCATCGGCGTCTCTCTTCTTTCTCTCTTCCCATTGCTTCTCTCCTTTCAACCCTTGGGCAACCACTTGGCTGAAAGTCATGTTGGGCAATTGAGTCACCCTATCACGTATCTCCAAGTCCAAGGCCTCCCAAAAGTGATTCACCATTCGGTTTTCATCACAAGCATACTCCGGTATGTGGTCGGCAAGGTCCCTGAACTTGTGCTCAAGTTCTTTCACCGTCATGTTACCCCCTTGGGTTAGAAGAGTGTATTCTCTCACCTTGGCATTTACCTCAAAGTCAGAGTAGTATTGGGCAAAGAATTCTTGCCGAAAATCCTCCCAAGTAACATTCCCTCCATACTTGCCCTTGGTTCCATCCCACCACTTGGATGCCAACCCTTCAAGTAACCTCACCGCGATCCTCAGTTTGAAATCGGGGGTGAGTTGCATGTCCAGGGCTGCCTCGTTCAGCCTCTTGATCCATTGCGCGGCCACCGAGATGTCCCCCGTCCCATCGAACGGTTTGCACCCCAAGTCCCTTGCCTCTTTGATGTATTTGGAGATCCTTATGGTTGGACCTCCATCGCCTCGACTCCCATGCGCTTCCACATGGGTTCTTGAATCACAATAGCTCCTTCCTCTTGGAGCCCCACCCGAAGGTTGCCCTGCACGGCGCCTTCGGCGTTCCCTCCTTTCCTCGCGCTCCCGATGATATTGTTGGAGCAGCGCTTCGATCCGAGCCAAGGAGCCACTTTCCTCCTCGTCGCTCACATCATCATCATCCCCTTCATAAGGGGTCTCAACCGGCTCAGTTTCCGGCCGGTAGGTTGAGTCCTCATAAGACCAATAGGTCTCACTCTCCGTGTCGACGTGGCCATCGCTCACGGTTTGACGTTGGCCTCCACGGCCCCTTCCTCTTGATCCCCTAGTGGACCCCCGGCTACCGCGCTCGGATCCATCCGGTACACGGCCCGTCGGGTTCCTCCTAGTGACCCTTCCGGTTGGCTCCATTTCTGAAAGGAAGTAGAATGAGTCATTAGACTCGTATCAATGTAAAGTGACGGATAGGTACTTAAAGACATCCTTTGGCTCAAATCACCGCCATACCAATTGTTAAGGGTACCATCTTAACAATTAGAGACTTTGCAACTCAAGTATCAAAAGTTCTATAAGTACAAAAACTTTTACGCTCATGGTTTTCAAATTCATTTTTTGAAAAGAGATTTTGAAGCTTCATTATGAAGTTTACGGACTAAGGCTCTGATACCAATTAAATTGTCACGCCCCGGACCTACCGGACACGTCAACAACCCGCCGTACAGTACGAATAGCCAACCGCAGTCCAACTCATCCATACTATACTAGGCGTCTTGAATACCATTCACACATAGTACATCCATAAACAATCATAACGTAAAATATTTAGTTAAGCAGCGGAAACATAATTACAAATATTCAAACCACACGTGGCAACCACTGGCATACAAGCCCCCAAATAAATATTCGAAATAATATCCATGAGCATTATTTAAATTGTTTTCAAAACGGAAACAGAAGAAGCACGAACCACGCCTTCCTCCTTGAATTCCCCGAAGCAACGAGCGGTAGTAGCAAGCTCTACTCCCTACCTGAAACTGTGAGGTGGCCTCCCCCGTGAAGGGGAGGTCAGTACTTGGAAGCATTTGACAAGTACAATGACAACTATACTAAGTATAATCAAAGTTTCAATTTCCAAGACCCTCAACCCAAGATGTTACTCATTTATAATTAACTCATGTTCTCCATGCTAGAGCTCGGCTCGTAGTCATATCAATTTGTGCTAGAGCTCGGCTCATAGTCACCCTACTTTTGCTAGAGCTCGGCTCATAGTCATACTAATTTGTGCTAGAGCTCGGCTCATAGTCACCCTACGTTTGCTAGAGCTCGGCTCATAGTCATACTAATTTGTGCTAGAGCTCGGCTCATAGTCACCCTACGTTTGCTAGAGCTCGGCTCATAGTCATACTACCACGTGCTAGAGCTCGGCTCATAGTCACGTCACTAATCCCTAAACCACTTCTTAGTCTAGGTTCCATCCATTTCGAGTAACCCTTAAGGCTTACTCCAAAAGTAACTTGAGTTCACAAAGTCCACCTTAAACATATCTTTTAAGGTTACTCAACTCCAAAGTCTTGGGATTGGCTCCCAAAAACTATTGAACTAACATTCCCGACTAGTATCCTATACTAGTCATTTAATCTTAATAACCCAATGCATATTCATAATAATTTGAATATTTCAATTTAATTCCACATTCAAGTATAACTTGGCTTTAATATCAAAATATCACTTTTATCCTTCCATGGCTTCCTTACATGAGGTAAAAGTATATTTTTCACAATTTAATTTATAGTTTACACAACTACTATACCATTGTATTCATAACACATAATCATACACAATTTATTCATAAATTTGTATATCATGCCTTTTATTTGCTTATAAACAATAATAATCTCATTTAGGCATTTTTATTAAAAATAAATCATGCCAAACACATATAATTCATTTAGGTAATCTTATGAAATTAACCCAATAATTATAAGCAATATAGTCGGTCATCCTCACCTTAAGTGAGCTTAAGCGTGTTCTACGCTCCGCGGTTGAACTTTGACTAATTCCGGTGAACTTTGACCAACTCCGGCCAACTTTGACCAACTCCGGCGAAACTCCGGCGAAGCTCAAAGATACTTTATATCAAGTTCCTAACAAGGTTTTAACATCATAAAACCTTAATCAATACCCATAACCCTTAAAAGGTCATTTTCCGGGGAACTTGTCGGTTTGGCTTCTAAATCCGTTCTTGGACTTAGAACCACTCTCCCACCCATTATTCTACACTTAAATCATGTAGAACAACTCTCAAGGTTCTTCATATGATATATATCTCATATGATAGAAGAAAAATAAAGGAAAGTTTTGATAAGGTTATTACCTTAATCCTTTCACACTTTTAGCACTTTAGCTCCTTTTCTTGGTATTCTTTCTTGTAAAGCTCTCTTCAACAATGGAGGAGAATGATGGAGGATTCTTTGCTCTTGCTTGGAGGGTGCTGGCCGCAGGAAGTGAGGGAGAGAGTGGGTGAGGGTTGGTTTTTGTCTCTTTGATCCAATGAGTAAGGATGGGGGCCATCTAATGTACCTTTGATGCCCATCTATTCAACCCCAACACCTCCCACCTCCTCCTTTCCAATCCAGCCGCCCACCACTTGGTTTTGTATGGCCAAATTCGTGGGTTGGCCCCCACTCATGTGGGAGGTCAACCCTTTTTGTCCAGAAGTGTACAATTGGCCCCGAAAGTTGTATTTTTCGGACTGTTTTAAATATATTTTATTTTATCGGGTCAAATAAAATATATTATGTGTTCTTAATCATTATAACCTTTATAATGAATATACATTCCCAAACTTTAATTTATAAGTCCCCGAAATTCAATATCGGGCTTTTATCGGTTAAATTGTCAATACCGATATTTGGGCTTCTTTTGACCGATCGGTCAACTCTGGACCTTTCCATGGTCCAAATGAAATAGCCACCACTATATAAATATTATCTTGACCAAGATAAATAAAATATATGGTTTCGGGGATTTCGGGCGGCCCCGCTCCCGGTGTGGGTCCCACGTGCGAATTTATTATTCACGCAAAAGAAGTATTAAAAATTCACCACTTCGTATTTTCATTAACCATTCCATGAGGTTCAATACATTATACTCTTAAAAGTAATTACATTTGGGGACGGTGTTACAACTCTAGCATCATTCGTGGGCAGAGCTTCAGCCTCAACCCATTTAGAAACATAATTCACAGCAAGTAGAATGAATTTATTGCCTTTAGAACCCGGGAACGGCCCCATAAAGTCAATGCCCCAAACATCAAATACCTCACAAGCCAAGATAAAATTCTGGGGCATCTCATCCCTCTTGGTAACCGCCCCGGTGCGTTGACACCTATCACATTCCCGCACAAAAGTTAGAGCATCTTTAAACAAAGTGGGCCCGAAGAAACCACATTCCAAAACCTTACGGGTTGTCCGATTAAAAGAATAGTGTCCCCGAGTCGGTCCGGAATGACAATGTTTCAGAATTTCAGCTCCTTCACAAAGGGGAACACATCTTCTAAAAACCTGATCAGCACAAATATGAAACAAATATGGTTCCTCCCAGAAATAATACTTCAGATCAGCAAAAAATTTCCTACGTTGATGAGGTGTGTAATCAGAAGGAACAACACCCCCAACAAGATAGTTGGCGATGTCAGAAAACCAAGGCACCTCATCAACGATACGCAAAAGTCTCTCATCAGGAAAAGTACCCCCAATGTCTTTCTCACTCATGGAATCAAGAAAGGGGTTCTCTAACCTACTCAAATGATCAACTGTTAAATTCTCAGCCCCTTTCTTTTCCTTTATCAAACTCCTGGAGTAGTAATATCCACCGAATCAATCTAGGCTTAGCATCCACTTTTTGCATCATATATTTAAGAGCAGAATGATCGGTGAATATCACTACCTTAGACAAAATCAAATAAGGACGAAACTTGTCAAGAGCAAACATAACAGCAAGCAATTCTTTCTCGGTGGTACTGTGGTAGTATAATTTTCCTGGGCACTATCGAGAGTCTTAGAAGCATAAGAAATAGGCTGAAAATGTTTCTCTCGACACTACCCAAGAACGGCTCCTACTGCATAATCACTAGCATCACACATCATCTCAAAAGGAAAAGACCAGTCAGGAGCTACTACCACCGATGCCTTGACCAGTTTCTCCTTCAAACACTCAAAAGCCTCTAAACACTCCTTTGAGAAGTCAAACGGTGTATCCTTCTCAAGGAGCTTAGTCATGGGTCGGGTTATCTTAGAAAAGTCCTGGATGAACCTACGGTAAAAACCAGCGTGGCCTAGAAAACTCCTAATGGCATGGACCGAGGTAGGGGAGGCAATTTAGAAATCACATCAACCCTGGCCAGATCAACCTCAATCCCCCTACTCGATATCTTATGCCCTAGGACCACTCCCTCACTAACCATGAAGTGGCACTTCTCCCGGTTAAGCATCAAATTCACATCTCGACACCTAACCATGACTTTCTTCTCTAAGCACTCATCAAAAGTATCACCATACACAGAAAAGTCATTGATGTGAGTTTTCTCGCACTTAAAATAGATCACAATATAGTGGTGTAAGTACGAGTATCGTCTCAGCGATTAAAAATAAATAAAATAAATGTGTCGTGCGAGATTGGTTGGTTTAGAAAATTAAACTAATGCGAATGAACGATAAAATAAAATGATTGGTTTCTCTCTAATTAACGACGAAGGGAACATGGATTGATTCCGGAGTAACCAGATTTCTGGCAGATCAGGCTTAATAACATGAAATTAATTTAATTGAGCCTAGCTAATCATTACTAAGTTCGTACCGCTCTCGCGGCGTAGAGTACAATAATTTAGGGGACCAGACTGATCTCTCATGCGACAGGATCCTAAATTATTGTCAAGACGAGCGAGCTTACGGCCCCTTAATCGCTACTAATCTCTTAGCGAACGATTAAGTGTGTATGAATGTGTCTTAGAACAAATTAGATCTCTCTTAATTCATTCTACATGCAATTGTAATTCTAGTGGCCATCTAGGTTATAAGAGATATCAATTAAGTTATTCAAACACAAATTAAACGTCATTCATGCGTTGAACAAAGTGTAGAAAGAAGAACCAAGATTTTGTTAAGAGTTGAGATCCCAAACTCCCTAGGGTTGGGTTTTGTTGAGACCCAAAACTCATAAAGTTCCCTTTTCTAAAAGCTTGGTCTGTATTATTAATTTATTCTAAGGTGACAGTACATGGAATTCTAAACACTAAAGGGAATGGGATCCCGAGTCCATGGAATTCTAAACACTAAAGGGAATGGGATCCCGAGTTCTAATGGAACCCAATCCCAACATTAATACAATAACTAATTGTTAATTACTAAACTATTGAATATTTCTCCAACTAAACTCTTCTCAAAATGATCTAATAGTATAATAAGACTTCCATCTTACTAAAGACTCCATAAAATCTTCCATGTACCCTGCTTTTTACCAAAGAACTTTAACAGTACACTGTTAGCAAGCTTGAAGTCATCTAATACCAGTTGGAGCAATATGATTTTTCTCTTCTTTTTTAGCCTTCATTTTGAAATGACTATTTCCTTCGATCGTGGAAGGAAAGACTTTCAGTCTCAAGAAGAAATTCACACAGAAACACTTCAAATTTCAATCAACCATTAAAACTAAGGTTTTGTCAAGAATCCTTGGAAACATTAATAGCTTTTTCATCCGTTTTGTCTATGATTGATCACAAGTTCACAACTATCCCTGGAAACATTAGTAGCTTCTTCATGCTAACTTTTCAGATTCCTTTATAATTCGTTTACTATTCAATTTATTATTATTAAAAGTACTTATTGTAGAGGCAGCTTATAATCATTTTAGAACCATTATTATTCATTTTTTTCTAAATCTAATACATAAAAGAAATACAAATTGTTAGGGTTATCAAAATTCATGAAACAGTTTTAGAACCATACAACCCTTTTTATGAAATGCTCCATACCATATGGAATGTATGTATCTATTATATCAAAATTTAGAATTCATTAGAAGAAGGATGCATATTAGGAAATTGGATCACGTTTATCACATCGGTGGCTTTTCGTTGTTCTTGCTCCCTCATATTTATTAATCCTAGAATAAAATTCCTTTTATAACTTCATTGATTTGGTCATCTTTTTTTAGTTTGCTTGCAGGCTGCTTAGAAGTATTCTTTTTAATTGAAGAAGCTTAATCAAGGCAATTCCGTAGTTCTTAGTTAAATCATATACAGAAGTTATTTATGAACTCTAAGCACATTGAAAACATTAAGTACTTAAGTTAAAAATGGTTTCGATAGTTTGGTTTGGTTTTTAGATTCTAAAACTGATAAATGTGTTTGGAACATACATTATTGTAAAAAGACTATTTCTTTTCATTGAATTGTTATCTTAGCAAAATTTGATTTCTGTTATGTCATATGGCAATACTACAGTCTACAGTGCTCTCAACCTCTTTTACCATGTTCATTCCTTCCACCACCTCAGACATTAGAGGGAGATGTAAGTTTACTCGCAGCCTTCTAAGAATACATTTTTTAATTTTGACTGATGTTTTAAGAATGCCTTAGAATTCACATAGCCTCCATATTAAAGAGGTTCAACAGTTATGTCATTGACCTTTTCACTGTTCAATCATTTTATCATCATTAAACCAGTTTCTCAAGGACTGTTCAATGAACAAGTTTATCTTGACATGAATGATTTTATAGTTCCCCTTCACGTCTCATTGAAGTCTTTTATTTGATTTGGGTATCAACTATCAACTAAAAGTACAAGAATCTTTAGAGTTTTTTCCCTAAGAGGGGTATTTTGTAATCTTATTTCCCATAATAGGGTACTTTTAAACTTAATTACCAAATAGGGGTGTTTTTTTGCCATGTCATCAAGCTAGAGGCGCCATGTCACTTACTTGCCACGTCACACACCATGTCATCACATTTAAGGGTTTCTCAAAATACTCCTTAACATAAAAAAAAATTAGATCCTATAAGGGATTGAACCCGCGACCTCGCAGATGCAAGGCAACTCTCTCCCCAATGGAAGCCAATGGACTGCTACGCTTCCTTGTTACATGGGACATTCTACTCAAATTTTAATCCCATCTCCTTCTCGTTTCTTTAGTGATACCTGCCCCAAAAATGAAAACTTCTTTAAAATTTATAATTAAAAACTTAATTTGCGATATGTAACTAAAAAACAAATTTAAAATAACTCAAAACCAAATAAAATAAAAATAAGTAAACCTCTTGAAAAAATAGATTTTCTGTTTTCAAAATTAATAATATTACATTTGAAAATGAAAATGATAAATAAATAAATGTGAACAGTGTAAAAGTCAAAATATTGCATTTATTTAAGAACGGAGGAAGTATGTATTTTTATATTTACACACACATATATAATCTTTTTAATGAAGTTTACTTATTATCGTATTTATTTAGTTTTGAGTTATTTTAAATTATTTTTTAGTTACATAGCACAATTATTTTATATAATAACTTAATTTGCAATATGTAACTAAACAATAATTTAAATTACCTTAGAACTAAATAAATAAGTAAACTTCTTGAAAAAAATTCTATTTCCAAAATTAATAATTTTATATTTGAAAATGAAAATGTTAAAAAAATAGTGCATAATATGTGTCTTGATATGTACACACATACATATATTACTAATCTGTTGAGGTGCGCCTGAATCTGTCATGAAAAAATTCAATCTGAAATCCAGTTAATATTATTAATTTTGAAAATGGAAAATTTATTTTTTCGATAAGTTTACTTATTTTTATTTTATTTGGTTTTGAGTTATTTTAAATTAGTTTTTAGTTACATATTGCAAATTAAGTTATTTATTATAAACTTTAATTACCTTTTCATCTTTTTAATTGAATATCTCAAATTATGATTTTAATTATATTTTAGTTGTTTGGGGCACCAAGTATATCACTCAAGAAACAAGAGGCATATCTTATTCAAATATAATTAGATGAAACTGTGGTAAAACAAGGAGTAATAGTTCAATGGTTTGCTTGGGTTTGGGAGATTCCCTTTAGTTTTGAGGTACGGGGTTCAATCCCCGATTTTGACTCCTTTTTTTATAAGGAGTATTTCACAACACAATGTGATTACATGGGGTGTGTGACGTGGCGAGTAAGTGACATGGCGCCTCTAGCTTGATGACATGGCAAAAAACACCCCTGTTTGGGAATTAAGTTTAAAAGTACCCTATTATGGGAAATAAGATTACAAAATACCCCTCTTAGGGAAAAAACTCAGAATCTTTAGGTAGTGCACACTATTTTTTAACAGGTGTGTCATTAACCTTTTTACACAATCATTTTATCATCATTAAACCATTTTTTAAGGCAGTTCATGTTTAAATATGATAGATAGTAAACTATTATTCATTATTTTCATTTTATTTTATGCTCTGTTTTCTGTTTTTCTACTTAATTTCAAGTTTTGATGACAAGATTATGAAGTGTTGCAAATTTTAGCTACGGCCAAAAGCTCAAAAGATTATGTGACAAGTTTGAAGAAGTTTTTTTTCTTGAAAAGAAACTGAAAAAGAAAGGTTAATTATAAGGGCTGGAAGATACATCATTAATCTCATGATTAGAGTCGAGAACTCCGTGGATTTCAAAGGGAAATGAAATTTTTCTACATTAAATGGGCCTCTGTGCATGCATTTCAAGTATTATTAGTATTACACTTCACAATTATATCCGTATGTGAGTTGCAGTGGGTTTATGTTCAGTAATATTTCGTGGCGTAAGTATTTAAGTGGATGTTTTACATGTCATGAGAGCAACATCTATAGCATGTGTATTTTTTTATTATATATGTCGATAAAGGTGTAAAGTTTTTTTTTACCAGGATAAAGGTGTAAAGTTGTAAAACCATTTTGATATGTTGATAAAGGTGTAATGTTATATGACCATTATCTTAATCATATGGTGTTGATGAGTTTTCAGTTAGCATTAACTTTCATTATTTTTTGTGTGCATTATATTCAAGATAATATTAAATCCAAATGACAAAACATACAAAATCATTGAATCACTAAATGTTTTTAAACGACCAATCCTTGCACGAACAATAGAGGATGTACATATGTTAAATAATTTCATGTAGGCATGGTCCGGAACTGGGCCGGGCTCCGGGTCCAAAATATCCAGGCCCAGTACCAGCCCGGGTTAGTCCAAAATATACAGCCACAAAATGACTAATCACAGCCACAAAATTAATTTAATTAAATAATCTATTTATTAATATCAACTTTGCCCCTAAACATATAGGTATAACCCCTCTAGTTAGCCTCATCCATCGTTCCTAAAATAAGCTGATTGATGGGGTCGAATTCCTCCATTATCCATACCTTTCTCTTCGATGTCTTCTTCCCCATTCTCCGCCGGATTTAGACTTCTCTTGCTTGTTTTCCTTTCCATCCCCGCCGGATTACTTATACAGCACGATTAGCCGATCGGCCTTTCTTTTCTTCCTTGCCGTCCCCACCAGACCGGCTTTGCTCGTCTTCCTCCCCCACCCCTTCCAGAAATTTGTAGTTCCAAACCAAAAGGAAAAGTGAAAAACTTCCTAATTTTTACATCTTCTATTAGTCTTTCAAAAAAAAAATCCCATTAGATCAATGGATCCCTAGATAGATTAAATCTTGCATTCAATTTTTATTTTATGTGCTCAAGTGCGTTTGTTTTCAATCGTATTGTTACGAGAGGTGGATTAAGAAAGAAATCTACAGTAAAGAAATTGATCACTTTTTGAAGACTTCTTTAATTTTGGATCCCAGCAGCGCATTTGAGAAGTAGATTTCAATGGCAGAACGACGTAATGCTCCACAAATGTAAAACAGAGTAGCAAATTAGCATTGATTAGAACTCCAATTGGTTGGGTTGAATTGAAGCAGCGATGATGGCGGGTGATATACGAAGTATATACATCAGGGCAAATTAGACATTTAGAATAACGTTTTTAATTAAAAATTAAACACGTGATTGTAAATAGCAAAATTGTGGCTGTGTATAGAATTGCCCTTTTGGGTATTTTCGAATTAATTCCAATCCCACCACCCCCAAAACCCCAACGTAACCACCCAGTACCACCCATTTTTTTGCAGCCCAATGCAAAAAAAAGGTCCTGGACTGGGTTGGTCTACAATTTCCAAAGCCCGTAGCCCGCCCCATTCTCTCCCGGTTCGGGCCCACTATCGAATGACTGGGTTGAGACGGGCATGCACACTACCGAGTTTCGGGTTGTCCCGACCCGTCCCAGTCTATCCCTAATTACATGTTGAGCTTGAATACTTAAGAGAAGACACATCTAAGCAACGATTTGGCATCCTCTTTTGATTCTGAAAAGAATTTGCTTCGTGAGATTCATCACCCAAATTCCTTAATGGAATGTGTCATGAAATCAAGTTAAAAATAGGTCTACTGTGTACATGTAAGTGTTTTAAAGTATGTAAAATATAACACATATATCAAAATAATTTATAATCAATGTACCTCAATTAGAACTCAAAATTAAAATAATAATTCCGAATAAATTCCACTTTTGGTCCTACGAGTTTTAGGTGATTTCCACATTTAGTCGACATCTTTCACTTTGTCAACTTTTGATACATGACTATTATGTTTTCGCCCATATATAGTCCTTCCGGCATTGATTCCGATGGTTAAAATCGCCGGAAAAGGACCACAAACGATTAAAAAACATTAGTCAAGTACCAAAAGTGGATAAAGTGAAAGATGTGGACTAAAGGTGGAATTGACACAAAACTCGTAGGACCAAAAGTGGAATTAATTCTAATAATTCCTGTCCAACGCACGAGTGAAAAACTAGTTATGAAATTGTCACGACCATTGCAATTAAACTAATCATTTATCAACAACTTGATAACGTAGTTACGTAGATATCATTGTAAAAGCATATATGAGAATAAATATTGAAATGTGACAATAACAATGATAGTTAACTAAAATAAAAGTGAAAACCCAAATATCATGCGACTTTGTTGCCATAAGATCAACCATCCATACTAAAACTTAAAAGGGTAAAGTACTAAAATTAATAAACTACATAATAATTTAAAAATTAACATAAAAATCAAGAAGAAAAAAAAAGTAAATTATTTGTTCAGGTTTGATGAAAGGGGTATTTCCATGGGTTTGCCTTGGTATCGTGTTCATACTGTTGTATTGAATGATCCTGGTCGGTTGCTTTCGGTTCATATTATGCATATAGCTTTGGTTGCGGGGTGGGCGGGTTCCATGGCTACGTATGAATTAGCGCTTTTTGATCCTTCCGACCCTGTTCTTGATCCAATGTGGAAACCTTTTTCAAAAAGAAGGGCAATTTCCCTTGTTTATCCAAATCCAATGCTAAATGGACGGCCTGTGTTTATAAATAAGTAATAAAATTTTTTGAAAAAAAACAACTTTGCTGACAATTACCGATTTTTTGAATGTTTTGTTAGAAGAGTCCTCATTTATTTGGAAAATGGCTAAAGGGTCAAATAGGTACATGAACTAACTTAAAGTGTTCAATTAGCCCCTTATATAGGAGGTTCTGCTCGGTCGTCACCAATTGGGGCGATTCCCGGTGGATTTTTTTGATGAAAATTTTTTAGCATCTTCTTCATTAAGTCTAGTTTACCCATACCAAATTTTAGCTAAAAATTCAATCGGGAAGGCAGTCAAATGATTTTGTGAAGATAACTTTGCAATTAAACAACGCAATACATTTCGGAAAATCATTTGACTACCTTCCCGGTTGAATTTTTAGCTAAAATTTGGTATGGGTAAACTAGACTTAATGAAGAAGATGCTCAAAAAAATTAATCAAAAAATTCAACCGGGAACCTCCTCAATTGGCGATGGCCGGGCTGAACCTCTTATATAAGGGGCTAATTGAACACTTTAAGTTAGTTCATGTACCTATTTGACCCTTTAGCCTTTGGAAAATTAACAAAGATAAAGAAGAAGGAAGAGAGGTTACGTGATTCTATCGTCAAAAGATCAACCCATCAATATTAAAACTGAAAATAGTAAATCACTGAAATCAATCAAAAAAAATAATTCAAAAAATTAGTATAAAACACAAGAAAAAAATACTCCCTCCGTCCCGTTGGAATGTTCCCGGTTTGACCTACACACATATTAAGGAAATAAACTTATCAGGGGGTAAATTTTACTGTTTGGACACTGTTTGGACACTGTTTGACACTGTTTTGCACTGTTTGACACTGTTTTAATTTAGAATAACTTTCCATTTAGGGAAATGAGAACTTTCCACTGGGACATTCAAAAAAGGAAAGTGAGAACATTCCAACGGGACGGAGGGAGTAGTTAAAAGTTACAAGGTACTCCATAGAAAGGAGCTCTCTATGAGAAGTGCGGGCAGCTGCAAAAACCAAAAGCTCTCTACCAGATGGGAGGAGAAAAGAGGAGAACCAAATGGCCGGAGGAAAAGCTACGAGATTGGTGGAAGAAAAGAGGAGAAGAGGAGAAGAGGAGGAGGAGAAGAAGAAGAAGAAGAAGAAGAAGAAGAAGAAGAAGAAGGATGTGGAGGAGGAGAAATTCATGTCGCCGTCCACCGACTCACCTTTGCACCACTGCGGCGTAGTTCTGCGTTGCATTTTCTCTGGTGTTTCTCATATCTATTTGCACTGCCATCTTCCTTGTCCTCACGAGAAGAGGATGGGAGGAGGTGATGAAGAACAGATCTATAACATCGACGGAATCAATATCCAATCAGTTAACTTTGGCTTTATTTGACAGTCTTACTGTTACGCCACCTGCTACCTGCCAAATTTAGCAGATTCCGGCGATTGGGAGGTACGCGATTGGGAGGTGTGCCACCTTCTGCCGATTAGACAGGGGTGTTTGGATCTGATCTTAAAACTGCTTCTACTCTTTCAGGAAGCAGAAACAGAAATTAGAGTGTTGGGGTGAAAGTGCAGAAGTGATTCTGGTGCTCTATTTTATTCTTAGAATCATTTTTTTAGAAGTTGGGGGAGACCAGCTTATGAAAATTGATTCTGATTATGCTTTTGCTTTAAAAAAGAAGCGGAAGCAGAATAAGTTGCTAAGATTCTTGTTCAATGCATAAACTGTTTGTCAAACCAGAAGGCCCAACTCCCCTTTCGATCCTATGCTCCTTGATGGCTAGTCGGTGAGTAATGGACACGGGCCAAGCAATAAAAAATTAAGAGCAATTCCGGAACATACTAAAATGTAAAGTCCCATTCACGAATAAAAAAGTAGGTCCTACTCGGATACATCACCTGAATTTTAGTCCTATTTAATCCTCTTAATTATGCAAATAGTTGCTTCAAAATAAAGTGCCCATTTGGTAATTCTTTTTTTCGGCGCTGAATTGTGGAATAATAAAAATGTAAGATTTGAGTGAGTTTTTTGATAAAAATGTAAGATTTGAGTGAGTTTTTTGTTTTTATTGATTGAAGTTACCGTAGATGATCATTTTCACTCATTTTTATATAATAGATAGTATTTTCATTATTTTTTTAATAAAAAAATTTTAAATATTTTTTTTTCATAAATCAGCATAAGCAACCAATCTAGCTACTTCAGCCTTAACTTCATAAATTTCAACATAATCAATCTTTTTAGCCAAGTGTTACCAAACTAGCTCTAAATGGCATTCTTTCTTTGAAAATTTTTCTCTACAAAAATTACGTTAAGCCAAACCGACCATGATGCTATGTCCGAATCAAATCAAGTTGTTGTCTGATGTCTACTGCTCTTTTAAGTTTTAAGCCCTTCTCAACCCCACATACGTACTTTGCATTAAACAACAAAAGGAAATAAACTAGAAAAAAAAATGTAAATTCATTCACCAAAAGGCTATTAGCATCCCTTCATAACTTAAATATACTCTATAAAAACTCTATAAACTTTGTTAATAGAGTCTTCCCTTACATTCCATTTTATCTTCATTTTCTTTTTTTAATACGTGGTACATCTGTATCTCATCTTATTTTCTCTATTATCTTCTTTTCCTTTTTGAAAAGAATGGTAACGGTTGATATTATTCATCTCTAAAGAACAAATTTCATCCCCGCTTTCGCTTTATAAAGAGTCATGCAAAATCAAATACGAAAACAAAGTAGAAACATCAAGAACTTAACTATGGTAATTAAACACGTCTTCGAATCCGACAACCAGTTATTGGTGAATTGTTGGATCGCAACTATCCGAACATGGACCGGACGGTTCATATAAACCAGCAGATGCTGCCATTAGATCTGAAAGCAAGAGTGACTTTTAAGCATATATTAGCTGCTTCAGCTATTAATGTTTACACATCAAACTTGGAGTAATTGATTGATTAGCAAAGCACCAAAAAAAGTTAAGAGTGGGGTTCAGTTTTGATGGAAAGGTGAGCTCCCAAGCCCAACCACGACTTGTCATGATCCTTTTGTTTGGAGGAATAGGCTGCCACCAATTTGCCACCCATCTGGTATGGTCCCTTTGAAATAATCCTGCATTTTAAATGCATCCCATTGTTGAAGTAGTCCAACAACTATTGAACTTTCATTTGGATTGAAATAATATTCTGAATCCTTGGAATCGGGTTTAAACAAAACTGTTTAAGTCTGATCCGATCTCTGTTTTAGGTTCAATATGTTCTAGGCTTGTATGGTATGGTATATTTCACAAGTATCCAAGTCTAGTATGGTCTAAACTTGTATGCTTAAGTTTGTTCTGCTAAGGCTAGTTAAGTCTCATTTAGTCTAATCTAGAAATAACTCCTTATGAGTCTTAGTCATTGCTCGTTTGGGTTTAGTTGACTTAAACATATTCAAATTTAGAGGGTTCTATATAAAGATGTTTTCACGTGGACATGAATTTTCCGTCTAGTTTTATCTATTTAAGTTCGATTTGATTTGATATAATGCTCAAACCCGCGTTCAAGAGAAAATATTCTAAGAGTGTGATTTCTAAGTTAAAGTCCCTTTAACGTTTGGTTTATATTTCATAATTATTGGTTAGTGTAGGAAGGCCTATCACTTCCTTGAATTGGTCATATCGATGCAAGAAGCTTCATATCAACGACAATAGGTATGAAAATAATTAATAAGTTATGCCACCACTGGCCACCAAAGGATTTTAGTTGCATGTGGAAGTCAAGATTGAATGTGTTCATTGTTTCAGTTAGAAAATTCACAATCATGTGATGAAAAAGGAAGATGGACAAGCTGTACATTGAAATAATAAAGGAGTGATTAGCTTTTTCAAAAGATGTTTGACAACTGATTTCGTAATCCCAATTTTCAACTTACAAACCAACTTTTTTATCAAACATGCAAATTTTTATTTCACGCATTGAATTGTTGATATTCAAAATTAGTAAGGTTAGAGTTACTTTTTATTGAATTAAAAGAAGTTTCTAAAAAGGATCATTTTATCTATTTTTTATATAATTTTTTCTTTAATTTTATTAGTAAAATAAAATGTATTTTTAATAAAATTTTCTATCTTCCAAAAAATATATTATATAATTCAGCAAATTCAGACATTTGACCAGAATTTCATCAATATCACCATAACGCGCGAGACTGGCTCTAAATTAACCAATCTACTTTTTTCTTTTAGTGTGGTTTGAGTAACTTTAACTCAATTTTAAGTTGTATGAGAAGAATCAGAATGAAAATACTAAAGATGTGAGACTTATGATGCTCACCTATCTTTTCTCTTCTCCAAGAACCTAGCAAGTGAATGTCTCCTCGCTATGGGCAGGTCTGCAAAAATGAAAGGATTGAAAATTGAGAGATCTTCCAAATAAATCAAACATGTAAGAGCATGCATATGAGACCATGAAGAATCATAACAAGCATCATTAGTTTACCAGAAGTAATTGGCTGAACAGTCGGGGAAGCCGCCACCACATTGGTAGCTGAAGATTCTGCTGGTTTCGTGGGCAGGAAAGTTGAATTTTTGTAGGAAAAGATGTTCGGATTCTGTGTGTTGTTTCCTTTTCTAGCCAAACTCAAAATTTCTTCAGCCTTTTGTGCTGGAAAGTCATTGAACACGAACACCTCACCCCCATAAAATATTGTCATTTGCGACTTCTCAGACTCTGCTCTAGCCACACTGTCACCCAACATAAAACAATAGCAAAAACGTTTAGTAAATTACAAAAACTTATAGTTAGGGTATTAAGATTTAGGGTATTAAAATTAGGAGTCCAATCCTGAAATGTAAAGAAAGAAAAATTATCAAATATGTGTCATTTATCCTACCTTCTTTCTAGGCAGAATTAGTTTTATTACTTCAAAAACTAGTAGTCTAACAGTATTTTTCCCAAACCGGATCCAAAACTTAGAGCCCAAACCGGATCAATTTTTCACAAAACACGAAACTTTTGATTTCGCGCCTGAATTGTGTAATAGTGAGAAAAGGTAAGGTTGAAGATACTTTTCTGTATTGGCTGAAATTACTATAAAAGACCATTTGAACTATTTTTCATATACTCCGTATTTTTTTTAATTAATAAAGTACTACCTCCGTCCCAGGGAGAAGTTCCCAATTTCCTTTTTTGGCAGTCCCAACAAAAAGTTCCCATTTTCTTAAGTGGAAAGTTATCCTACATAAAAACAGTGCCAAACAGTGCAAAACAGTGCCAAACAGTGTCGAAACAGTGCCAAACAGTGTCGAAACAGTGCCAAACAGTAAAATTTACCCCTCAGTAACTTTATTTCCTTAATATGTGTGAAAGTCAACCCGGGAACTTCTCCCTGGGACGGAGGGAGTATATTTTAAATATTATTTTACATAAGTAAGCAGAATCAACCAATCCAACCACTTCAGTCAAAACTTTATAAATTTCAGCAAAATTCGCCGATTCAACCGATTTTGATAGTATCAAACATGCTCTTATACGGAGTAGAATATAATTTCGAGCCCGTTTGGAGAACTCTGTTTTTGGCTTATCAGGCTTATCAGCCAGCTTTTTCACCAAACACGTAACTTTTACTTTCGCGCGCTGAATTGTGTAATAAGCCGAAAAAGTAAGGTTGGAGTTACTTTTCTGGTTGTATTGGCTGAAGTTACTGTAGAGGACCATTTTAGCTATTTTTACATATAATTTTTTCTTTAATTTATTAATAAAATATATTTTTAAAATTTTTTTTTTCTTAAATCAGCAGAATCAGCCAAAACAGCCACTCCAACCAGAATATCATAAATTTCAGCAGAATCAGCCAAAACAGCCGATTTTGGTGCTACCAAACGGGCTCTTCAATCAATCATATTCCATAATTCAATGAATTTTGGGTCAATTTTCAATGATTTTTCTCATGGAGCTATCCCTTTGTTGCCGCTTAGGATCAGCCATGATAATGACTTAACTTGTAGCTCAGAGCAAACCAAGCTAAAAGCAACAATTCCTTTTTTAGTGTTAGCCTGATCAAATCCATATTTAATACTGTATGAATTGAACTAGATAGTGATAAGATCTGAGCTTTCACTCCAGACTAATAATACAGAATCTCGTAAACTCTTGTTCTTATCAATATCATTAAATTTGATGATTTAACAAACACCTAATTGTAAGACATTTAAGAAAAACCCCAACCTTGAATGAGTTGAATCGATCTTCTGATTAGCCTCATCTTTGTTAAAAGTGGATCCAAAGTCAGTGAACCCGGACATGGGTTTGGTTCCATGACCCGATTTCTCAATCATGGGGAGCAGATTCATTGTCTGGGTCGCCGGCGGAACCCCTGTTATTTAACAGAGGAATAAGAACAATCAGAAAATTTACCCAGAATACTAAAACCTGAAATCTTAAAGATTAATGAAATTCAACAAACATACCGGAAGTTTCAGAGTTCCGGGAAATACCCAGACTGAGATCACCAAAAGAACCCCTCCCCTTCAAGTACTGGCTCAGCCGGGTGCATGTCTGGGAGAAGTTCGATTTCTGGCCGGGAAACCTACCGGAATCAGCCACCTCCGGCGAACTCATCCCTTCCCGGCGATAGAAATCCAGAATGATTTGATTCTGAAATAAAGTAAAATGAGTTCTTTCTTCAGGATGGACCAAATTAAGGAATACACGGCTCCTTATACCCGGAATTATTATGAGCACATGCGTAAAAAATGAATATATAATGACGTGTAATAGACGGAGTATATAAAAACGTGTATATATGTCCAACGAGAAAAGGAGGAGTAGATAGATGGTGAAGGGGGTGGTTAAAGGAAGGGGTGGAAAATGTGTTGGGCGGGAGGGGAGTTACTGTACGGTGTGGTGCACTCTGCACCTCCCAATATTGACTTTGTCCCTACCAAACTATTTGCATCTTTTTCTGAGAATATTTCTTAGCTCATGTTTTTCAGCAATTTGAGGGAGTACATACCTGTCTACGGCCATACCAGTTCCAGAAGTGTAACAAGATATAAGGAGTACGAAGTACGGAGTATTAAATTACTCTCCTTTGTTTTGACACAATGTGGCTTATAGTAGTATTAAATTACTACTATAACAAGTTTATAGTAGTAAATTTTTTGTAGAAGTAGGACACATGTATATGTTAAATTTTTCTGGGTGTTAATATAATTTACATTTCATCCAAAAAAAAAAAAAAAAATTACTACTATAACAAGTTTTAAATTACTAGAACCTAAGCCGGACATACAAAATGATAACAAGTTTTCTTTCTAGCATTCGTTCTTGAATGAGACTTAAAACCTGTCACCTCCGAAGTAGTAATCAGATTCACTGATCTTGAATGGAGCTTAACTGAGTCAATGATATGCAAACTATGATTTCCCATCATCCCACTTAATTAAATTCTAGAGTTTTAATGTTAGATTTTTTTTCTTTTGACCTTTTGGAATGCCTTTTCATTGAGGGGTAAGTTTTATTGTAGATTACATAGTTTTGACAATATTTGAAATTGTTTTGCCCCGTACTGTCATTATTATTTAAGGGTAGTAAAGTAAATTGGTATAAATTTGTTAATCAAATACTCCATAAGAAAAGGAAAATGTAAAATTTATTTAGGGACGAAGTGAGTATATCTGTATATGCATACAATTTTATTACACTTGAAATTATACGGAGTATGGAGTAAATAACAATAAAAAATTATCACGGAGTAATAAAAAAACTATTGTTGTTGTAACACTATTTTCCACTGACAAAGAGAACCGTGTGTTAAAATATTTTTCGACAATATCAGATCGTAAGTATGATTGAATTAAAACTTTCACACGTTTTTTACATGAAATTTGTCCAAAAAGGTTGAATCACCAACCCCAAGAGCCCCCACGCTCCGACCCGGTAGAGCACATGGGAGACCTTAAGTAAATCACAGTGACTTAATCAATCTTAATGGTGGTAGACTTTATACCCGTGCGCATCACAGGCCCAGACCAGCCCATAGGAGTTGTGACTTCACACGGTCGCTGCGGGTTTCGATAAGATGAAATACATAATTATTGCACTCTTTTAAAGAATATACAGATTTTTGTAATGGTTCAAATCTAAACAGTTTGATTTGTGTGAAACAGTTTAGTTTTTGCAAGTGTTTTCTGAAGTCCACTGCTACGCCTCTATTCTCAAGTCATTAATACGAGTACAATGTCCTCCTCTTTATCCCGGTTCGGAGAGAATCTATGTACGGGCTATGGTAGGTTGAAGCCCAGAGTAATTTAGAATTTTAATTTTTTATTGAAATATTTTCATTTTCCACATTCAGCTTACCACGTCAATATTTAACCCTAGTATAATTCTTATTCAGCTCAAGACATCTCATGTTCTTGGATCCGCCCCGGATCCCGGCTAGTTCTCAATTTTAAATTATAAACCCATTTGGTGATCCGTATTTTTAGGTTATCAGTCTTTTCAGGCCATCAATTGTCTTTTTAATTGAGCACATATTTTTTTATTTAACACGATGGATTGTGTAATAATCAAAATAAGTAAGGTCTTTCTTACTTTTCTGACTGAACTGACTGAAGTTACTATGATCACTTTAACTATTTTTCTAATAATTGTCTCTTTGTTTAATTACTAGTATATATATATTTTAATTATATTTTTTCTATAATTCAACAGATTCAGTCAGTTCAATCAATTTCAGTATAACCAAAAGGGCTTCTAGTGTTTTTGAATGTACACATTGAGAAATAATATATGTATACCTTTCTCTCAGTAGTGATAGGTCGCTTGTTATCGACACACGTAACAAACTGCATTCTTATGGAACTGTTAATCATGAAACACATCAATGTTAATACAAATATAACTAAATCATATTTCACACAAATAAAAAATTTACTTGACACATCAGTGACAATCACAAGATGAAATTCTAAAATGTTATTTGGCAAGCATATTAAATTATTACATTAATTAACACTAACTATATTCTTCATATAATATTAATTAAATGTAATACCTTTTCTATGTAATCGGTATATTTTATTGGGTTATATATTGCTTATTTTTCACTACAAGAATTTTGCAACAGACAAAATTCATTGCAAAATGTCGGATTTTGTTGCAAATCGTGTTTTGCAACGGAAAATGGAACAAACGTAATATTGTTGTATAAAAGGTCTTGCAATTTTTTGCAACAATAATGACCACAGTTGCAATGATATTCAATGACTTTTGCAATACCTATTTTTTCATTGTAATAATAGCAACAGGTTTAATTATTGACACCCCAAACTTAAAAGTGCTTTAATTATTTGTCCCGAAAAATTCTTGAACTGGCTGTACCCTGTATACATTCATAATTTTTCATAATGATTTAATGATATGCATGTAGAGGTACAAGATACTTTTGAAAGGTGTAACATGCTTTACTCTTAGGCATCCACATTCATGAGATCTTTTGGGAATGATGATGTGGAAGATCTTTTTTGAGATTATGATTGAGGAGATGCGATCATTTTGAAAGATTATTTGGATAAAAAGTCTGGTATCAAATATTGAATCCTAGATTATTCAATATTATTCTCAAGTTTCAATAAACACATTTAATGCAACCTTGTCTTTTAAATTGGAATAACTAAAATACCTCCTTGGAAATAATAAAATGTTCCTGAAAAAACTAAATGAATATGGATCATGGTTGAGGAAGAATTAGTAAGTTTTGATTTTGTTTATGTGGCAATGACATGGCAAGAGAAACACATGAAAAATCGAAAATTTGAGTAGCATGGATGAGGATGCTCTTAGAGAGTTTACTTTGTGTTTTAACATTGGATGCTAGTTTAGTAATTCGGAACTAATGAAGTTCTAGAAGTGTAAAGTTCACTTTAATATCTTCATTAAGGGGTTTTTGACTTTCCACTACCTGATTTTTGAGTGATATTTGATTTTGTACCCTGTTTTCAATAATGCACTTTATTTTACAACTCCGTATAAGATTATTTAATTTTACACACCGTTCCTTCACAATTTTTGATTCGATAGGGTGCTCACAGTCAAATTTTTATTCGATAGGGTGCACATAGTCAAATTTCTTTGTTCCTTATGTGTCGATGAATAAACTAATTAAATAACATGTGGATCAAATAAATAAGGAGAAGTGAGAGTAGGGTGCAATTCCAGTTCCTCAAGCAACCTGGTGAGAATCGGATCGCTAAAGATGTTTTCTTTTGGATCGAAATTTACTGGTCTAGTGTGGTCTGAGACCGAAATTGGTCTAAATGAAAACATCCTAAGACACCTGGCCATAACCGGAGTTAAACAGACTTGAATCAGAATTAAAGGTACTGGATCAAAACGACCCAAACCAAGTAAAGTTCTAGTTTCTCAAATAGGCTATTAAGAAAAGAATCGGGTATTTGATTCCAGTTGGGATGGACCAAATTAAAAATGGATTGAAACCGGACATCAACCATTTGGGAACCGGGTTCTACCCTGAAATTCCAATTCTAATTATTTATAGGAGTATTTGGAAAAGCCCATCTTTCCTTTAGCATTAATGTACGATGCATAAGATATTGATCATGAGGAACGAAATAAGTAATTTAAAACACAATATAGAGATGAGTAAAATAGTACACCAAAATGGGATGTTCTCTTTTGAATTGTTTTCGGTCCTAACCAGATCAAGCCAGATCAGACTAAACAAGACATAGACAGACCAGATCAGATCAAGCTTGGACAGTTCTAACATACACAGAGACCAAACGTTTATCATACTATCTCTGTTCAGACCAGACCAGACTAGGCTAGACTTAGCTAGACCAAAACAGACCAGACCAACATCAATCCAAAAGAAATCATCCTAAGTATGATTAAAACTTCTTGGATTATGGTTGACAATAGACCCTTCACCTTATTCCCAACTCGCACCATTTTGTGTAGAAAAGCTCCGGAAGTGAGCTCTATATTTCAAAATTTGTTTATCTAATGCATGGCATGAGGCAATTGAAAAAACTTGAACATTGCTTTAGCTTTAAACTACGACATATGACTCGTCGAGTGAAATATATCCATATATTTAATGTGAGAATCTACATACGAGTATGTAATTAAAAATGCACAAGAGATGCTACATCGTAGCAAAATCAATAGGGCCAAACAGTATCTTTAGATGTGTTAAATTATCACGACACACAATAAAGAGCATAATTACAATTTACAAAGCAAATTAATAGATTCAATGGACCTTGAAATAGTTTTCATAATTTCATCTTGTTTATGATGATGATTTGGGACTTTTAATCGATGTAATGACCCTTATTACAAATTGTGTGTCTCAAGAAAATTGTGTAATGCTTAAAAAACATACGGAGTAATTGATTTGATATTTGAAAGTTTGAAGTACAAAGACTAATTAAAATAGAGACTTAAACTTAAGTTTTTTTAAAATTTTAATAACAACCTTTTAGCTAATTAACATCTCATTTCATAATGAGAAACAGTTTAATTATATGTGTTGGGATAAAGAATAAGATCTAAGATGAACAGATTTGCAAGATAAAAGAAAAATTAGCAGATCTAAAATGAATTAAACGAGAGAGAAAAACAAGTCGTGATTGAGATAAAAAATTGAAAAAAGAAACATTTAGACGGAAAAGTCGAAGAAAACTGACTAGAATTGAAGGGTAACAAAACGGGACTCAAATGACACAGAGAAGAAAGTAACTTACCGTCTATAGCTCTCGCAAATGCGATCAAAT